TTTTGTTTATACATTCATCAATTGATGGACATTTGGGTTGTTTCTATTTTTTGGCTATTATGAATAATGCTGCTATAAATATTCATGAACAAATCTTTTTTATGGAATATGCTTTTATTTCTCTTGGGTATATATCTAGTAGTAGAATTGTTGGGTTATGTGGTAACTCTATTTAACATTTTAAAGAACTGCCAAACTATTTTCCAAAGTGGTAGTAATATTTTACACATATGAGGGCTCCAATTTCTCCACATCCTCAATAGCACTTGTTACTTTTAGTCTTTTTCATTATAGTCATTCTAGTGGGTGAGTAGTATCTCATTGTGGTTTTGATTTGCATTTCCCTAATAGCTAATAATGTTTCATGTACTTATGGTCCACATGTGTATTTCTTTGGAGAAGTCTATTCAAATCCTTTGCCCATTTTTAATTGCATTATTTGTTTTATTATTGACTTATACATATTCTTAATATTCTGGATATAATACAGATTGTTGATCATTTCAAAGAGCCAACTTTTAGTGTTGTTGATTCTCACTATTGTTTTTCTATTGTTTAATTTATTTTCATTCTATTCTTTTGTATTACTTTCTTTTTGCTTGTTTTGTGTTTACTTTGCTATTCTTTTCATAGGAATTAATAATTATGAATTATCCTTTAAAGTACTGCTTTAGCTGCATCTCAAGTTTTGGTGTTTTGATTGTATCCATCTCAAAGTATTTTCTAATTTCCATCATGATTTCTTCTTTAACCCATTGGTTATTTAGGAATGTATTGTTTAATATACACATATTTGTTAGTTTCCCATATACCTCTCTCTTGTTGATTTCTAATTTAATTCCATTTTGGTTAGAGAACATAATTTGTATGATTTCAATCCTTTAAATCTTTTGAGGCATGTTTATGGCCTAGCATACAGTCTTTTTTGGAGAAGGATCCATGTTCTTGAGTGGAATGTACATTTTGTTGTTTTTTGGTGGAGTAGTCATTAGATGTATATTAGTCTAGTCGTTTTATAGTGTTGTTCCCCTGTTGCTACTAGTATCCTGGAGCTACCAGGCCCCTCTTAATTGCTCACCATTAAGATCCCCATTGTTTTTTCCAAAAATGCCCTTAGGCATAAATATTTCCAGGTTCTTTTCCAAATAAATTCATTCCCTTCAGGCAAAGCTGCTGTGCTTAGTTCTTACGGCCTGCTTCTGCACCCAGGGAGAAACTTCAGACAACTATACCTGAACTGGGGGTGGATATAGCAGGACACTTCTCCTGCAGTAACACCCCATTGGGCATTCAGGGGAGATAGTAACACCTGGTTATTTCAGCTTGCCTGGCTCCATGTAGAAACTTCACCCTATAAATGAACTTGGGCAGAGGAGATTGGGATCCTACTTTTACTGGCCTCTCATGCCTGAGGACAAGCCCTCACCCTATAATTGGGAGTTAGTCCTCTAGCTCAGGCTTGCCTGGAATAGTGCCTTGTCAACTGTGGTGGAATAAAAGACACTGGTGACCACCTCCTGGGATGAAAGTATAGCCCTAGACTAGGAACTGAGGGGATAGGGAGCCCTCGTCTTCTTGGGCACATCCATATCTGGAGTAAAGCTTGTCACATAGAGCTGTGGGAGATGGAACAGGTTATAGCTCAAATGCTAGATTCTATTTTTACAGAGATTTAGTAGATCTTTTTGAACAAATGTTTATCCATTTGCTGTATGCCCTTATGACAATTTCTAGGGACTTTAAACATGTGTGTGTGTGTGTGTGTGTGTGTGTGGTATGTGTGTCTGTATATACATATTTGTCACCAATTAAATGGTGTTTTACTGGGGAGTGGATCCACCAAGATCCTCACACAACTATTCTGGAAGTCCTGCACCCACCCTTAAATGTTGATATTCCTCAGGGAGATTTTCACTGTCCTCTCTGTACACCCTCTCCTGGATGACCTTGACCCACCTCTTCACCTATTATCCATCTACTGATGATTCCAGAATCTACACTTCCAGCTCATTCCTAAGCTGCTTGACTATGTATCTCTGGCCTTTTGGACATGTACAAGTTAATGTCTCTTGGGTACCAGAAACTAACAGTTATAAAACTAATCTCATCTTCTCAGTCCTCTGTAACTAATGCTTTCCCTCTATTAGATTCCACCTAAGGGAATGGTACCATCAACTCAGTTGCTCTAGCCAGATATCTTTAAATATATCTATATCTACCTCTCTCTAATCTCCTACATCTAATTAATCAACTCATACCCCTTTAAACCCTACAAATTTCTAAAATGTGTTCATGCCTATAAATATACTCAATTACCCTAGTTAAGGTCAGCATCATTTCTTACCTGAACTACTACCACAGTCTTCTTTCCCTTTACAAATAGTTTTCCATTCTTCAGATAAATTGATGTCATGTCTCCTCTCCTCAAATCCCTGAACAAGTCACATCAGACCCTCTATAATCTTTTTCTTACCCCATTGACTTCATCACTAGATCCTTTCTTCTTCTCTACATGCTCAAACTATGTTCCAGACATAATGAACAAGTTCCTGTTCCTAAAAGCATCATACTTTATCTGTCTTCTAGAACCTCACACCTGCTCTTCCCTCCTTCTGGAGGAATACCCTCCCACGACTTCTCCTGGCTAAGCTCTATTCACCCTTCAGGTGAAGGCACTTTCTCTGAGAATCTCTCATCCCCGCTAAACTAGGTTAGTTTACTATGTGCTGCCAGAGCCCACTGAATCCCTACTATCATAAAAACTGTACATTTTGCTGAGATTTGTTTTATCATCTGTATCCCCAGTACACTGAGAGCTCCAATTGTAAGGACTGAGGTACTAGATAAATGCAAATACTTTCCTATTTATATACCAGGTTAAAGATAGATGAAAGAACACAGCTTAAAGACTCAAAATTTTATTGATTGGGACATGATAGAGGGTCTTTCTTCATATATAACATATTAAGATTTAATTCAGGATTATGAAAAAACATGTAAATAGACTTGGACAGCAAGTGCTCTTGGGCAGCAAAGTATTGATATTCCTGGGATGGGTTTCCTTGCTCTAAACAGAATGCATCCAGGACTGGGTTAATTCCTAAAATGCCCACTAGGGATTGTGATGCCATCGCTGATACCACCTACTAAGAATGATTTTGCAGTCCATTTATCTTTTGTAACACCCAAGAAATGAGGTCTAAGTTTGAGTGCATAGACAAAAGGAAAAGAGAGAATTGATACCAACTCTGTTCCAAGTCCTCTATGCCCTCAGCACTGGCCCCAAAGAATTCTAAACTTCTAGAGGTCCTGCCTGCTTTTTCACACTGCTGTGTAGGATTACACAGGGGCAGGGTGTTAAGTCTTCTTGGACCATGGATGGACATTTTGGTTCCCTATGTTTACTATCCTGGGAAGAGGTGGAGCACTGAGTTCACTGTAAGATATTGTCAGCCCTGTTCTTCTTCATCTTAACGTGAATCATGATCTTTGGAGTAATAGGAGACTGAATTTCTATACCCAACCCATCACATTCTAGCCCTTTGATCCATTCCATTGATTTCAGGTAAATTTGAGACACTTTGAGTACTTTTTAGAGATTGAGTTGTGGGAGCAGCTTTCCCTTCTCCATGGTGAGGATGAGTTTATCCATGATTTGAAACTGCAAACTCTCAGGTTTTTGGTAGTGATGGGGAGTGGGGGATTGAGGGACTTTCCTAGGCCATTTGGAGTCAACCTGCATTAGGGAATTGGTCTAGCAATGGAACCTAGAAAAGATATGAACTGTGCAGTAGGTGTAAATTGTGTTCTTTGCCTCACATAATCTGGTAATCTTCAATAAAATCTCATCAAAAGTGACGGCCTTGTCTCTGGAGTACTGTAGGAAATTAGGGATGGATGAGGGCACATTCTGGGGTAAAAAGGTAGAAGGGTGAGAACGGGGTTCCATTTCCTGAGTCCAGAGTGGTGGTGTCCTTGTTTACCAGTTGAAAATCACTGTCCCCAGAAGAGCACATGAGGGTCAGAGGCTACAGACATGGTAGCTTGCTGAGGATTCAGAAAAGACAGAGGGAACTTTCTGGAAAACAAGGTAGTAGCAGGCCTACTTTTAGCCAATACATTGCAATGTGTGATTTAACAAAGGGGCACTCCCTCTGAATTGATACTTCCCCCTCCCCTGCCAGCCTCAGTGCTTGGTGAGTAGGAAGTTTGTGTGGGAATTAGAAGAAAAACCAAACCAAACCAAACCAAGCCTATTCTTCCCTACATCAGGACTTGGTAGAGAGCTTGATCTGGATTTGACACCCAAGTTTTGTGCCATGCTTGCCGCACTTGTGCAGGAAAGAAGTAGCACAAATTCCATGATGGCCCTGAGCATTAGCCTAAAAAACTGAGGAACAGCAAGGTGCCTGTGTGGTGTGTGCTTAACAAAAGGGGTCATGGATTTTGGGAAATATTCTGGAGGAAGGGGCTCACCTGTGCCATCTGTGTCTGGGTTACATATGTTTATATTTGAAAAGAAAAAAGGCTGGAATACACACACACACACACACACACATATTTTTTGAACTTGGTTATTCTGTGTAGGGGGTCATGTGATTTTTGATTCATTTATTTTGGGGGGAATTTTACAAATTTTCTGAAATTAAGATGAATTAATTTTGTAATCAGGAAAACAATTCAATTTTTTTTAAGGTAAATTGTAGAATGGGGAGTGGAACCTAAGCTTATGTCCACCACTGGGGTTCCACACTTTCTGGTCATGTCTGACATACTGATGCGACTAAAAGTCTTTTTACATGTAGAACTGGGAGACCTCCAAGGAAAGAATTCACACTAAGGGAAGAGCAAGTCTGCCAACATGTCAGCTCGGGAACAAAACCTAGGTTTTTGGAGGGGAGGAGAGAGTCTGGCAACTGGGCTGTAGATTAATGTTCCAACCAAACTTCTCTACTTAAGTCTTAGGGATAGAGGGGGTCCTAAAAGTAAACTCTGAAGAATTTTTTTTCAATTTTTATTATGGAAAATTTCAAACATATACAAAAGTATAGAGAATAGAATAATGAACTCCCAAATATCCATCACGCAGCTTCAATAATTATCAATTTATCACCAATTTCAACTATATGCTCACTTACTCCACCCTCAGATTATTTTGAAGCAAGTATCAGTAGCATATCACTTCATGTGTCAAACTTACAGTACATTTCTCTAAAAGATAAGAATAAAAAAAAACATAACCACAGTACCATATCACACCTAAAAAACCCCAATATGTTGGGGAGGTGTGTTTTTATTTCAAATTCTGTAAAGGTTGGGGGAACAATTAATAAATAAATATATTTCACTGTTAACATGAGGAAGGGTGTAACACTCAAATGGAGCCCATTTTTTTCCTGATGTAATTGCTTTACAATGCAAAAGAAAGAAAACTACCATATTAAAGCCACTTTAGGGCCTTTGTAGGGAGCTGGGGAAGAGTGCTGACATCACAAACCCCATGGCAGAACTCCATAAAACTTCCTCTAAACACCTTTGTCATTTTCTTAAAGTTGATCTCCTGGAGGTAGCTGACCCAAGTCCTCTCTAAATCTTTCATTTTCGGTCCCCCCCACCAACAGAAGTTTTTTTTCCCCCCAATGCCTTTGCCAAGTGACAACAATTTAGTTGTCTTTCAGTCCTCTGCATTCTCACATGCAGAAACCAGGGGGGATGAGGAGCTAGCTGATGTATTGGAAAAGGGGAGGAAAACTGTGGCTAACTGAATCACTAAGAGATGCAAAAGAAACCTAGGCAAGCTAAGAGGCATGATTAACTTTGGAAACTGCCTATAGCAGTCTTTTTGCCTCTGGCATCAAATAATACAGTATACTGAATCTGAAAAATAAGAAAAACCATCTTTTCTTCAAAGAGATGTTAAGATTACATGGAAGAGGTGGTTAGGGCAGTGCAAAAACATTAAATTTGTTATTTGTATATCATTTTAAAATTTTATAAAAAGCACATTATCTTATGTTCATTGTATTTATTTTTATAGTTACTTTTATAGCAAGTGATATTTTTGAATAAAATTTTAAGCAAATTAACAACAGTACAAAAACACTGAAGTTGTTACATAAAGGACTGATTCTACAGAATGTTGCCTTAAGTGATGGGTAATCTTAAAACTGTGCTAGCCACTGTGTGGTATGCCTTAGAAATATGAGTAATAATTCTTGTCCTTGAATATCTTACAACTGCCTTGAAAAGTTTCTGAAACACCTGATACAGAAAAGCCACACACGTGGTGCCTGGACAGCATATACTCTACTAGCACCAGATTGGAAGGGGAACGTTTTGCCATGTAGTGATTATAAAATATGAGTTGAATCAAAGAACCTTCAGTGATGCCAACCATATTTCAAGTAGTGTCTAAGATGCAGAATATGCAAAGAGTAAGGAAGTGTGGTCCTTGCTCTCAAGGATATCATAGTCTAATGGAGAAGGCAGACATATCAAAAAAGCACAATAAAAGGCTACGGGTGCTGAATAAGAGTCTGTTCACATAGAATAGTACAATCACCAGGGCAAGAGGAGTCAGTGGAATAGACAGGGAAGGAGTGTCCCAAGATGTAGGAGGAAAACCAGATGAGCTGTCTCCTTGGAAGCATGGAAGTGCTCACCTATACTTGCCAATTCCATTCATCAGTGGTTCACATCAATGACTCTTTCAAAGCAATCCTGGATATCTTTGCTGTTCATCTGGAGAAACAAACCAACATACAATTAGCAGGCTCATACTAATTTAACAATTCTTCCAATTGATAAATTTACAAAAGGTTTATTATCTGTATCACTCACTTTGCATTTGGAAAGCCTTCACAGAATTATCTAATGCAGATGCAATGTGAGTCTGGATCAGCAGCTGAGGGAGTTACAGGTCAGTATATGTTACAAAACAAAGAAGTCAGGAAAGCAGTGATACCAGAAGTTTTGCAAAGGGGGAGTGGTCATCTAAGACATAAAAAAGTCCTAAATTCCATGTTCTGGACTCTAAGCTTATGGCAATTATTCAGGCTGGTTCCTATCCATCAAAAAGTTTGTTGTCTACTGGCCACACAGCCATGCAAATAGAGAAGTACAATAAATTGTGAGAACCATGACACACACAGAAGAGGGTACGTTGACCCAGGTGGTCAGAAAAGGCTTCTCGTAGAAGTTTATGAAGTAACTATTTTTATTATCTTCAATTTTATATTAAAAAACCCTGAGCATGAGATAGTTAGATAACTTGGCTGAAGTTACAGAATTAACAAAAACTGGAAGCAGTTTTCAACCCTAGGTCTGTTTGACTTCAAAGCCCAATGTAGTTTGATGTATCACATCAAACTCTCATAAAAATGTCAAGTTTTATTTCAGTCACCATAGTGACTTTTCCATTTCTCATAATGCTGTTTGCCCATAAAATCTGTTAAATACAGTGTAACAGTTTGTCAGGAGACAACTACCAGGAAAATACTGATGAAACTGTGGTAGTGCCTGGTGGCTTCCCCATATGGGACGCCTGGAAGTAAAAGCTCTGCCCCCCAAATATACATTATTTGTGTGTGTGTACATATACAGACACAATTTCTTGAAAAAAATTTATACTTTATAGACATAGCAATAATTATTTCTAGTGTTTCTATGTATCTACATTAATCTTTAATGTTTTCTCTCTATACATTAAAATAATAAAGTATTTGAGCAGCTGAAAATATATGCTGTTTATTAAACATGCAGAAAATAAATCTGATTCATTTCTGCAAACTTCAATTATCTATGGAGAGTACCCTTTCTCCGTTTTTACCAAGGGGAGGGCTGAAAAACCAAACAAACAACATATAAGTGACTTTTTAATACTCTTACAAGGAAAAAGAATCCCAACTGTACATCAATCTTTGGAGCACTGAGGTGGTAGAAATTTTCTGTATATGACCTCTGCTCACCTGTTTAGCCTGAAACACTTGGTCTTAAAGAGAAAAAACGAAATCTCCTTGGAGCTTTAAACTATTTTAGGCTAGGTTCCAGAGAATATTTCACAAAAACTACTTAAATGAACCTAACGGTCAATCCTTAAAAATAGCATGACAGGGCTTCCCTGGTGGCGCAGTGGTTGAGAGTCCGCCTGCCGATGCAGGGGACACAGGCTCTTGCCCCGGTCTGGGAAGATCCCACATGCTGCGGAGCGGCTGGGCCCGTGAGCCATGGCCGCTGAGCCTGCGCGTCTGGTGCCTGTGCTCCACAACGGGAGAGGCCACAAGAGTGAGAGGCCCACGTACCGCAAAAAAAAAAAAAAATAGCATGATATATTCTAAATGTTTCTGGCAAAAAACAACGACAAAAAAAAAAAAACAACCAAAAAAACAAACCCACAACATATTTATAGGCTAAATTCTTTATAACGGGTTAATATGAATATTGTACATTTTTGCCTTTGTCAGATACTTAATTTAAGAACCAAATAAGATGATGCATTATTACCTCTAAGAATAACAAGTTATGGCTCCAAAGTATTTGTGACAGCATTTCAGGTGGAAGGGGTTTTTATCTGCAAAAATATCTGTAAAATAAGAACCCAGTATATCTGCTGTGTTAATGTTAATGTAGAATTTAAGAATCTTCTTGAATAACTAGGTTATTGGGGGAAAATATCTTTGGGTCTATTTGAGATTGAATGAATAGTAAAAGTCAGATTGTTTAGAATTAAAAATACGTACTCAAATATATATTCGATATATATCACTTTTGCAGAGAAAAACAGAAAAATACACAATAACCATAATTAATCAAATGATATAATACAGATAATAAAACTGTCATTGGTTTTAAAAACCCACTCATTTTTTAGTTTACTTTGATAGCCATTAGTACCGAAAATGTTTTGTGAACTGAAACTTGTACATTGTTTATCTGTGCTTGAATGTGTAATACGATTTGTTTTCAAAAGAGTGGTACTGAATTTCTTTAGAAAGTGGAACAGAACCCACTTTTTAGAAGCAATCATATAAGCATGTTACCAATTTGTAGAATTAAAATGCAACCAAATAGAGAAAAATATGAGTATTTTGAGGAACAAAATACATATAGCACACAAGGGGGCAGCACAAAAGAGTATGTGTTCTAAAATTCAATATAAAGTTCAAAAGCAGAACTTAAAAGATAGGAGGGGTAGTACTGATTAGGAAGAGGAATGCAATGGGCTTTTGAGTTACAGGTAATATTAATTTCTGGATCTGAACTCTGGTTACATGTATGTGCTCACTATATAAAGATTCATTAAGCTGTAAAGATTTGTCAACTGTTCTGTATGTATGCTGCACAACAGTAAGCTATGAATTAATTTAAGAAAGGTAACTTCCATTAAATCTTCAGCAGTAATTGTGTTTAAAAACAGGTTACTTTGAGGACTAACAAAATGTTTTAAACAACCATTATTTTCTACCTTATTTATTTACTAGAAGGATGTTTTAAAAATGCTTAAGCGTTATATAAGCAATGACCTTTCCACCCTGATGTCCTCTTCAGAAAGTAGATTTTCCCACTACCTAACTCCCGACATGGCTAGAGGAATAAAGGTAGTTCCAGAAGACAGACCTATGCACCTTAGATAGGATCCCTGATTTCAAACAAGTACTGATGCAAATGTAAGAGCTTTTAATTTGGTAGCTTTTAAGTCAGTCATGTGACACAAAACCTTTATCCTAAATCTTCACGAGAGATTTTTCAGGCGTCCTGACAGTTTGAGGATTCTGTAGCAGCTGAATATCAAGAAGGCTAACTCACTGAACTGGGATGTAATTACCATATAATATTCCATTCTTTTGGCTACTGGTATTCCGACAAGTTTAAGTGGACTATCATGAATTCAAATATGTGAACTTTCTTTCAAAGACTAGTTTATAATGAGAGAACCATGTTGTTCTAGGGCACTGAGAAAGGAGCAATGGCAGTTGAAAGTTGAGCACGCTAAATCACACTCAGAATACAGTTTTCATAATATGTACATATCAGGATATGTACATAACAATACCTTCCCGAGAGGGTCTTTATTCTATAAAATAATATTTTGCTAAGCTACATTCAGGCTCAATGGAAAATGGCCATTTCAAGTAAGAAGTAAAAAACTACCAGTTGTGAAAATGTTCTGAAAATTGAATTATCAACATATGAATTAAGCAATTTCTGAAAAAGGCAAATTAGATCACATATCTGAAGATAAAATTATTGTTCAGTGTGGAAAGAGCACATGATGTAAAATTCCTTAAATAGTTCTTTGAAATTCAACACTGGTCCTTCAAACCAATCCCCATCACAGAAGGGCTTGCTGACAAGGGCTAATGCTGTGAATGAGAAAACAACTTAAGAGAAAAAATTAATGAAGTTGCCATACAACCAAGGTGATCAGATTTTAAAGGCCTTCACTACAAAAAACCCACAAGACTGGTACCAAAAGTGCACATACGCACACAGACACACGCAGACACATACGGACACACACACACGTGTGAACTGTAAAGAAAAAACAAAACCACAACACGTATACACGTGTACACACACACACACACACACCCGCCCCCCAAAGACTGGGTCAGCAGTTAAGGCACCTTTATAAAAAACAAACAAACAAACAAACAAACCAAAAAATCCCATGTGGCTTTGGCTTTCCGAAATGTGTTACAGTGCTACCAAGAAGCGATTCTGAAAGCATCTGAAAACGTGCAAAATGTCTGAAAACAGTGCCTGGCAACTGAGACAGTTTGCAAGCGTGATTCAGAGGTCTGCCAAGGAAACAAAAGAAGCCTCCCTCCTCCCGGTGAGACCTCACACGGCACCAGGGGCGCTCCGGGCACTATTTACTGTCAGGTAGGTGGAAAGCAAGAGTCTGTGCAGGAGCGGTACATACTAGGGATCGCTCTCTGGCGGGGACGGGGCCATGGAGTTTCCACTGGTTGGGGAACCGCCCAGCTTTAGTTTTTGCAGATATTCGGCATGCACGGGCTTGTGGCACTGGAGAACCTTGATCGCATCTTCGACTTTGAACCACTCTCGCTTCCTCCCAATGCTAACCGAATCTTCCCAATCCTCCAGAATCTCAGTGACAGTCAGTACATACACGTACGTTCTGTGCTTGCGATCTTGGTTCTGCTCGAAAATGCCCAGGAGCCGGCCCAACTTCCCCTTGACTCCCGCCTCTTCGTACACCTCGCGGACTGCAGCACCGCCCGGCTCCTCCTCGGGCTCCATGCCCCCGCCCGGCACGATCCAGCGGTCCGGGTACCGACTGCTACTCACTAACAGCACCTCGTCTTCGCGCTCGCTCCGGAAGCACAGGCACGCCGCCCGCTTCTTGAACCCCTCCGGGTCGTAGGTCCGCGTCTGGTTCGGCTTGCACTTCATCCTCGAGGCCGCTCGCCGCTGCTCGGGTCCCCGCTGCCGCCGCCACCGGGACGAGGGACTCCGAGGTGCTGCCGAGAGAAAGGGCCGCGGCGAGAGGCGGCGAGAGAGAGAAGCGCCTCAGCCCGCGAGCCCCGGGCGCTCGGGGAAGATGAGGCGGGGGCGGGGACGGAGGCGGGGGCGCGCGAGGTACGTCAGTCGGTCCGTCCCCCCGCGCGGCCGGGGGGTCCCGGGCGCAGACGCCTGAGTGGAGGAGGCGCCACCGCCCCCGCCCCCATCCCCGCCTCCGCCCCGGAGCCCGCCACTCTGCGCGGAGCCCACCCGCGTCTCCGGTGCGCGTCCGCGTCCCTCCCTCCTCAGCCGACGGGGCCGGGGTTGAGCGAGGTGAGGCGCATTCGCGGGCGCGTCCGCGTCCCCGGGCACGTGCGCGTTCCCGTCGGAGGGCGGGGGGCGGGGGTCTCGTGGCTCCCGCAGCGCGCGGCGCCTGGGGCGCACTGCGCAGGCGCCCCGCACCTCCGGGCTGGGAATCTGCAGCCCCCGGGGTGAAATGCACCGCCTTGTGACCTGGGCCAAGCTTGCTTCCACGTGTGCCTTCGAGCCAGACGTGGCTGTGGCGCGGCCGGACGTTTCTCCTCACCCTCCCCACCAGGTTGCAGGAAACACACACGCAATCGTTTTACACACAGGACGGACGGTCAAGTGCGTGTGGTCCTCGTCATCACCCATAAGGTAGAGTGCCGGCTTACTTACAGGAAGGCCCCGGTTTTGTCAAGACGATCCTCGGTATTCTTGACAAAACAGTACCTAATCTTTGCTGAGTCATATCATGCAGTTTTGTTTCTTCAGCAGGTTCTTCACCTTGCCAGGCATCTTGGCACAGCCCATAAGTGAACACCTTTCTTGAACCCCTATTGACATCTTACCCAACCTCTGGTCCTCGGTTTGCTCAGCAGTAAACTCCTCACCTACTTGGTTCAGACCTTTGCACTTCGGGTCACGTTCACCCAACAGCTGGAGAACCACCCAAAGCAGTGTTTTATTAAATCCCAGGAATCTCTCCCCTCCACACACTCCACCCTTGTCTCTCTTTCTCATTGAGAAGTACTGGTTGAGGCTTTGGGAAACATGCCTCTGGCAATCCCTTCATATTTTGCATGTTGATTTTTAGAAGCCTCCTGGCCAGGGACTCCAGCAAGGCCACTTGGTGCTCTCTCCCCTCTGTCTGGTCATCCTGTCCCCTTGGCCAAGAAGTGGCCCTCCCACAGCCCCAGATGTAACAGCCTAAAGCCTTCCCCCTCCTTCGTATTTTTTCTTATTGTTTCCCTGCTCTCACAGTAACCTGTGGAGAAGACCTCTGATATCCCCTCCCTTTTGCCTTATTGCAACTTAGACATCTTTGTCTCTCTCTTACCCACAGACCGTCTGCTGGCATCAGGCAAGCAGGATCACAACACCTCACTTTTCCAGTGAAATAATCCATTCATCAAGGAGAAATTGAATCGGAAAGGTATGTGGAAAATGGTTACGAAACATACAGTCCGGTTTTTAAATAACAAGTTAGTTCAGCTTGCCAGTTCAGCTTGTTCCACGCCGTGTGTATCCAAATAGCTCATAAAATTGATTCTGTTCCTGGTGGCAAGACTACCCTCAATATCTAGAAGTATAATAAGACAAAAATATATGGGCATAATATAATAAAACTGTATGAAGAAAATGGTAAAATGGAGAAATGAAGAGAATGACCTCAACCAATAGCGATACTAGTGCTAATGACCATATTTTACCAATATATGGATGATCAAGGAACATTTGGAGGAAGGCAACATACCGTGATTAAAAACAAACTAGGAGGACTTCCCTGGTGGCCCAGTGGTTAAGACTCTGCGCTTCAATGCAGGGGGCACGGGTTGGATCCCTGGCTGGGGAACTGCCTCACGCCGCGAGGTGTGGACAAAACAAACAAACAAACAAAACACAACAAAAAAACCCCCCAAACACTAGGAAAATAGATGTCAGCACAGGCTGTATACCTCAGTGTGCCCATACTCACAAATAAATGATGTTAAACAACTAGAAACAAAATCCATTATAGTCAGGATCTAGGCAAATATACCAATTATCACCCATATTATTACATATCATTTTAGATTTTCTTTCCCGTGCAATGAGATTGTAAAGAGAAAAAAGCCTACCATTTTGATAAATAAGACAAAATTGTCATTCTTAGCAGATGGTAGGAATATATTCTTGGGAAACACCTAAGAAACGATGTAAAAATAAATTTCTTTAGGGCTTCCCTGGTGGCGCAGTGGTTGGGAATCCGCCTGCCGATGCAGGGGACACGGGTTCGTGACCCGGTCCGGGAGGATCCCACATGCCGCGGAGCGGCTGGGCCCGTGGGCCATGGCCGCTGAGACTGCGCGTCCGGAGCCTGTGCTCCGCAGCGGGAGGGGCCACAATGGTGAGAGGCCCGTGTACGGCAAAAATAAATAAATAAAAATAAATAAAAAATAAATTTCTTTAAATGGTAGACGTTAATAAACATTAACATTTAAAATCCCAAGAGCTTTCATGTATGCCAGCAATAACCCTGTAGAAAATATAATGTGGAAACGATGACATCACAGTAGCAATATCAACCACTACAAAGTAAACAAAATACCGAGGGATCCTAAAAAATATGGTTAGGGCATTGTAGTAGAAAATGATAAAACTTGTACTCAACTCTAAAAGATATTTGAATTAATCAAGAGGAACTTTAGCAAAGCTGGGAGATTGGACTGGTGTCTGCAGGGAGGTGTGGACCAAACAGGCCCCAGCCACATCACCAGTCTGCTTCACAGTTACCAGGTAGTATGTCCTTGTCTCACCAGAGGTGCCGTTTTATAGTCTGCTGCATCACTCCCACATCAGATTATGCCTATGCAATATGTCTGTGCTGGGGGTGGGGCATATTTATTGGAAGGGGGAGGAGAAGCAACATTATAATATGGAAGGAGGTAGAGACTGAATTCCTACTGGCAAAGTCATAACATGTTCCTGGATAAAGAGATCCACAGGTTGTAGGTTTAGTGCAATGCCAAGGAAGTTTCCAAATTAGTTTTTTTCCAAATTTCATAAAATAATTTTATTTTCCACCTGTTAAAACAATAGGGCAAGACAGTTTTAACTTTTTCTAAAGAAGAGTAGAAATCTTTTTTGGGAGACTAGCACTCTGCTGTCTGGTTTATCTATAGTTCATTGTTTCTCCACTGATGAACAGGGTTGTTTCATGAGCCACTGTGGTAGCAGACTGTTACAGCAACAGCTGTGATACGTGCATGCCTCCCACATTGTCCTTGGCCTTGGCACGGAGCTTGCTTTGTGCCATGGGACCATAGCAAGTGTGAAGCAAGCAGAGAATTGAAAAGTGCCTGTGCACTGGGGTTTGCCCTCTCTTGCTGCTCTTGAAACAAGATGACAACAATGTGAAGAAGCCTGGGCTAGGTGAATGATGAGAGATCCACAGTCCATGCATCGCCTTCACCCCACCTTACAGTGGATCCTTTGCCAGAAATGTAGGTGAGACCATCCTAGACCATACAGCCCGCAGCAGAGCCAGTTAGCCGATAGAGCACTGACCACGGATGCGTAAGTAAGCCCTCTGAGAAGAGCAGAAGGACCAGTCACCCGAGCCCAGCTGAAGTCGTTGGGCTGCAGAATTATGAGCAAAAGAATCAGTTGTTGTTTAAAGCCACTAAAATTTGGGGTGGTTTCTTATACATCAAGAGCTAGCTGACACCACCATTAACTGCCATCCATCAAAATCCAACCAAAAATAAAGAAAGTATGTTTCCCAGTAGAAATTCCACCTCTTCTTGAAGAGGTTGCCATTGAACTTTCCCTGGAGTCAGAAGGAGAGGGATGAAGTTAAGACATGTAATATTTGTACGTGTCAGTCTTTGTGCCAGACCCTGTGTTGAGCCCTGTATCCTGTTTAACTGACAGCCCATTAAATCCTAAGGAGACAGTTATTATTTCCGTTTCATAGAAGAGAAGGCTTAGAGTGGAGTTAGTATTTGAATTCAAGTCTTCATGTCTCTATAGCTGTGCTCTCACAAAGTCACCATGTCTTGTCAAAAGGATTCTTTTTATCAAGAGCTACGGTTTGTTGTGGCATTTAAAAAAATTTATTTTATTGAAGTGTAGTTGATTTACAACGTTGTATTCATTTCTACTGTATAGCAAAGTGATTCAGTTATACATATGTATACATTCTTTTTCATGTTCTTTTCCATTATGGTTTATCACAGGATATTGAGTATAGATCCCTGCGCTGTACAGTAGAACCTTGCTGTTTATCCATTCTATATATAATACTTTGCATCTGCTAATCCCAAACTCCCAATCCATCCCTCTCCCAGCCTCCTCCCCCTTGGCAACCACGAGGCTGCTCTCTATGTCTGTGAGTCCTTTTTTGTTTCGTAGATAGGTTCATTCGCGTCATATTTTAGATTTCACATATAAGTGATATCACATGGTATTTGCCTTTCTCTGTCTGACTTCCTTCACTTAGTATGATAATCTCTAGGCCCATCCATGTTGCGGCAAGTGGCATTATTTCATTCTCTTTTGTGGCTGAGTAGTGTTCCATTGTATATAGGAACCACATCATCTTTATCCATTCCTCTGTCGATGGACATTTAGGTTGTTTCCATGTCTTGGCTGTTGTGAAGAGTGCTGCAGTGAACACTGGGGTGCATGTATCTTTTCAAGTTATGTTTTTCTCCAGATATATGCCTGGGAGTGGGATTGCAGGATCATATGGCAACTCTGTTTTTAGTTTTTTTGAGGAACCTCCATACCGTTTTCCACAGTGGCTCCACCAGTTTACATTCTGTTGTGGCATTTTTGGATGACGTTCAGAGTTGACTTCTTAGGTAAGGTGTTCATTTGCTAAGGGTCACTGAGTTCAAAGGAAGCTATTTCCGCTCTGGATGTTCTTCTCCTGAGAAATATAGTGAAAAGCCCACCTGAGGGCCCATCTCACTCCCACCAATGAAGGATGTCACCTTGACACGTTACTTAACAACTTGAAGTTCAATTTCCCCTGCAAGCATAAAATGGAATTAGTGTTACAGAGAAGAAGACGTTCTATTTTGTCATCATCCTGGGCATTGATTTTGATTTGTCGAGGGTCCGCTTTATGCATGTAATATTTATTTACCAGCAAAATTGAAAAATGAGTATCAAAATCTCCTTTCAACAGATTAAGAGACAGGCTGAGATGGGTTTAAGGAGGTGAGGCAGCAAGTGATGGAGCTGAGTCACACGCTGGTCTGCCTGACACCAAAGGTAATCTTCCCTTCACTATGACAGATTTCGCACGTGTTGAGAGTTGCTGAGATACACACACAGTGCATGTCATTCCTTGTGGCGCAGACTTCCTCCGCTCTCATTTTTTTCTGCCTGGGAGATCTGGGCAGCCAGGAGAACACAGCTTCTATGTAATGTTCTAAAACTGAGAGGATCTGCTCTGAGCGCAACTAGTCTGGGATACATATTTCCACATGTTTTCTGATTTAGGAAAGAGCAGGCAGATTGGAAAGTGACAGCAACATTAGAAGCATGGTCCTGGGAAGTTGGGTGCCTTTCTTGGTGAGATGGGCATGGAACCTAGAGCTGCCTCTTTTGTGATTAATTTTAAGTGGAATGCAATTCTAAGAGGGAGGAGCTCTCCAGAACAGCTGTCACCGCAGATGGAGAACGTTACAGACCTTCTGAGAGCCTTGTGGTCGTCACAGCTGCACCCAGCTTTCAGGAGAGTGACCACACATACCTGAGAGGATTTCTAGACGTACTAAAGGGAAGCAGAGTCGGGAAATGTGATTTTAGTAGTAGTCAGTGAGTGGGAAAAAAATTGGTGTTTTGTAAACCAAATGCCCTAGAACTTAAGTCTGGCTCTCTCAGTAGCTGTGCAGCCTTAAGCAAGTGAATATCTTGGACCTTGATAGTTCTCATCTGTAAAATGGGGATAGTAAAAGTACCTAACTCATTAACTTCAACCCTCCCCCAAAGGCTTTCCTGACCATGTGTACTCACCCACCCCTTACACTGCGATTAAATGACCCTCCTCCATTTTACCGGGCTCCCTTGACTTTAATTCTGTCATGGCTCTAATCAAGGATCGAGCGCTGTGATGATCTGTCTGTATGTTTGTAAGAAATTGAAAGGCTAGGGTCCAGCCTGATACATACCTGTTCCCCCTGAGTCAGCACAGTGACCTGAGCTCGGCATCCAGCAGGGATTCAAAATACATTGATTGACTGAAAGAGTGTGACAGAGCCTACATGGATCATAAAGGATGGTTCTCATTGTACCTAATAATTGTTTATTACAAATATAAAATGAAAGACGAGTGAAGAGAGGCAACTCCACACATAGCTTTTCACGTGTGTGAAAAGGGAGGCTTCATCATGTTCCTTGGATAATCTGTTTTTCCTTGAAACACAGCAAGGGCTTCAGAGTGGGGCTACAGTAGGTAGTTCAGTAGAAACTTCTCAAATACAAAGGGATTGGAACAAAAAAATACCTCCCCATTTTTTTTTCTTTGCTTAATGGATGAACCATGGGGATGAATACAGGACTTGTAAGTTTGTGATTTTGTGAGTAACGGCACACGTGTGCACAGTCACGGGCGTGAGCCCAACGGTCAATGGAGGTCAAGTCCAGGTGAGTGTTTCCACTCTCTCGCAAAGAGGCAGCACTCCTTGATTTCTCCTGCTTCTTTGATCACTCCCTCTGGTCCCCTGACTGCTGTATCCCTGCTCTTCACTGATACTGTCCTCTGTACAGACCTCTAATTCAGCAACTAAACCCTTCCTAGCGCTGTTCCGTTCATGGCTCAGAGTCAAATGCGAAACCCTCAGAAAGGTGTACGAGGCCCTACAAGATCTGGCCCCATTTCCTCTCTGACTTTACCCCACCAGCCTCCCTTCAGTCACTCAGGTCCAGGACTCTGCAGTTTCTGGATCTTGTCAGCCAGGCTCCCTCCTCAGGGTCTTTGCTCTAGCTCTTCCCTTTGCCCGGATGCTCCTCACCCACATCTGCCTGGCTGACTTCCTCATTTCCCTGGAGGCCTTGCTCAGTTCTCGCCTTCTCAGTGAGGGCTAACCAGGCCACAGAACAGCATATTGCCAAGTGCACCCGTCTTTCCCACCCTCCACCCTATCCCTGATCCCCTTTGCCTTGGCCTAAATTGTCCTTTTGTTATAACACTTATCAACTAACAGACTCTGTTATTTACTTCTTTGTTATGTTTGTTGCTTATCTCTGTCCTCCCCCAGAGCTCCCAGCTGTGAGGTCCTTGGTCTTAGGGATCTTTGTCTCTTGCTCACTGGTCAATCTCCAGCAGCCCAGAACTTTGCTGAGCACACATTGTAGTCATGCAGAGGATATCTGTTGATGTAATGAGTGTGTCTGCCTCCCTTGGTACATTGTGATACCCTTGAGGGCAAGGGCCATGTTTCATTGGTCTTTGTCAGTCCATGATCCAGGACACTTTCTGATACAACTGGGAAGGCACTACGGAATATTCATTGAATTAATCAATCCGTTAATTAATTAATTTGTGAAAGCGATACTAACAGGGAAAACATTCTGTTTACAAACTGCAGTTATTCCAGTAGGTGCCATCTGTGTGAGCACCATGTCTGTATCAGCTGCCATGCAAACTCTGCTGGTCGGCGCGGCCAGATGTCTGACTCATTTTCCGTGGATCCCTCCTAGGCCAGCCCTGTGCTTACTACACAGCATGACTTAGGGTGGCGTTTCCAGACCTCAGGCCTTCGTCACCTAAATAGACTTTGCTTTATCTGCGCAGAACATCTACTAATTTACATAATATATTTTCTTCAAATAAAAGTGTTTATCTTTGAGAATAAAAGGTAATCATACAGTTAAACGTGGTGAACGCAAAAGAATGTAATGAGCTAGTTGAAATGAAAGTTGAGATTAATGTGAAGTAATAGTACATGCAGCGATGGGCACCAAGCTAGGCTCTTCATTGATCTTCTGTAGTTGAATCCTAGGACTACAGGATTTGTAGTTGAATTCCTTCAGAGGAAATATTGTCATTCCCACTTCGTAAGGGAGACTGTTGAGATGACGGACATTCTGTAAGTTGCCCACGATCTGGCAGTAGATAGCCCAAATGAGAGGGAAACTCGGGGCTCACCGATGATAACATCCCAGAAAGAGTGCAGCATAGGCAGACCCCCGCTTAATTTGCTCCCAGCAGTCCTGTCCGGTTCCCTTCCTTTTTTCACTGATCCAGCTCTCCAAAGCTTTCATCCCATCTCCTAACACTTGCAGAAGCTCTTCATCCCAGAGATCTCGCCCCAGCTGCTTTGGCCAAATGTTGGTATATTCAACACTGATTCCTGCTGCGGCAGATGGAAGGTGACTATTCTGAGTCCTTGTGAAGGAACAAAGTAATTGTTGTTTACACTCCTTCATGACTTTTGATGATTGTGGATCCTGGGGAGGGTCCTTTGTTGCAGAGCTAGTTTCCTTGTGTGAGAATCCTGTTCTTGGCAGGATGCCCTTTTCTTCCACAAAGACATCCAACTGGCCCAGGAGGGAAGATCAGGAGTTTACTGATCAATGCTGCTGTGCACCCACAGGCCCAGGCACCGTGAGACCAGTTCCCTCAGAAGCAATACTACAGATTTCTCAGGGTTACCAAGCTGTTCTGCACATTTCGCAGGCTCCTTTGATGAAGACCACAAGCGAGGTATAGAATCAAAATTGGGATCAGGAAAACGGCCACATTCTCCCGGTACCCCCAGTAAAATCCACCTGTTCTGGGAGGGTGCACCATTAGTGAGCAGCATGGTAGGGTGGCTCTGACCAGGGGTTCTGAGCCGGGCATCATCCTCTGGAATTCGAGATTAGTAGGAAAACGGCTTTTCCTTTACTCTTTTCCCCCCATCTTCTCCTCGGGTGTTTATTATTTCAGGGCACATTGGAAAATCGGTGGTTTTCTTAGCAGTTTTCCCCAAATACGAGATCTCCTAGGAGAGGACACCAATTAGACTCTTAGTTTCTGAGCTTCGCTTTAACTTTGATCAGATAGCTTTTAGTACCAGCCTACGTCTCAAAGGAGGTATCCTTGATTTGTTGCTTCGGATGAACTTTCTGCTGTGTGTAATTCCCAAAATTCTTGTAAAGGAATCCTGTTTTTCTGTTGTTGCTTTTTCCTAACTACATATCAGAAGAGATGATAAAATCTCTTTGAGGGCCTACCATGTGTCAGGTATTTACATATCTCACTGACAATTTTCATAAAATCCCTGTGGCATAAGTACCATTATTCCAGTTTCACAAATGAGGAAACCAAGGCCCAGGAGGGTAGATACCTTGCTCATCACAGAGCTAGGAAGTGGCAGAGCTGGGATTTAGGAGAACTGCTGTCACAATCCATTGTCTGCATATCTCCACATTTTTTAAAAGTTTTTGAAAAAAATTCCTGTGTTCTTGAGAGTCACCAATGTAAATTTTAAAATTCCACACCGTTGCTATGTCATCATTCTATTTATTTTTCGAGTTTTTCTCATGACAAATAGTACCTTCCTTTACAGAAAACATTAAGCTTATAACATTAGAGTTGGGGGTGGCAGACATGGAAAGGCTTACACATGGCTAAGTTCTGGGAATTGTTGCTTTTAGCCATATTGTGGGCTAAAGACCGTGCCACGTGCTGTGTAGAGGCACATGGACAAATGAACCAGATCTCGTCCTCCAACACCTCCTAGGTTCTAGAAGAGTTTGCATGATACTCAAAGACCACACACATGCTACCTATATAGAATGCATCTACTGTCCTACTCCCAGATTGCAAGTGGATGCTTTTGCTGTCAGAGTTTCAGTATGAAAGAAATGCCTTCAGCAAACCTTCAGCAATGCCTACCATGTTTCATGCAGTGTACGTCGTACAGGATAAGCAAAGAGCAAAGAAAATATGGTACCAGCCCTTAAGGATCTCACAGGAAAACAAACATAAAAAAGAATGTAATTTCTGAATTAGAAGTATCCACGGAGTACATTTACAGTGCAAGAGAGGAAAAGAGGAAGAGGAGACACAGACTGGGGTGATAAAAAAAAAATAGAGGCAGTAGGATCAGGAGTCAGATCAGGGGAACTGAGACCTTGTGACTGTGAACATGAAGGCCTCTATCTGAAAATTCGACTGTTTGGGGGCTCATGGATGTGATTCCTTAATCCCGAATATTTGTGATTTTCAGCAAAACAAATAATCAAATTACCAGTCTTATATTCACTAATTAATTTCTGCAGTTAAATTTCTTTAAATGATTTTTATGCTTCAGTCACTTTTCACTTGCAAAGCCTAGGGGCTTTAAAAAGGCTCCCACCGTGAGGACATTTCAGAAACTGAGAGATTGTTAGAAAGGCCAACACTGATCACGAAGCCAGGAAGTCAGCAGTGCACTGGTACTAGAAGCTGCTGAATACAGGGAGCTGGTGTAAAAGTCAGAAAATGCGTATGTTCCACGTGCCGTGGTAGGCTCTGGGGTTAGAGGGATCAGGCAAGCTGATCCAGCTGTCTTCGTACAGAAAATCACGCAGGCAGATCTTAAACCCAGTGGTCTGTAAAGATTTGTCAGGATTATCGAGGAGGCGTCTCACCTGCGCACACACGCGTGCACACACATACACACACTCACACACAGTTAATAACTTAGAATTCTGAAACACAGCTAGGATCACAGAGTGTTGGAGCCAGTCTGTCTACCTCTAAAGCCTCAAAGAATGTCTATGGCACCAAACCCTTTTTCATAAAACTTTATTTCCATTTAATTCAGAGCCACTACCTGCAGTTCCCCTGACTGTGCTTGCCTGCTGTTGCCCTGTAGGGAGCCTGGGAACTGAGTGTTCTGCTTTATCTGAAGTGCAGGGACTGAGTGGGCAGCTCCAGTGTCCAAGCCCTTCACACTGAGTATGGCCCTATCTTACCAGGACGTGCCCTCATGTTGCTGTCACACTGCAGGCTGTCTGTTCTTGCCTCTGTATTGCAGTTAATCTTCCACTACACTAGCGTTAGAATTCTCTGCCCTGCGACTTTGGTGGCGCTTATTTTAATTTGCACCTTAGAGGTTCATGTGGTTATGGCTGGGCCAGAAATGATTCCTCACCCTCCCCAGTAGGTTGGATACTACAGAGAATTACCTTACGCACAACAGATTCAATATGCTAATGACCTGAATACCGGTGTGTCAGCTTCCTAGTGCTGCGTAACAAATTGCCGCAAATTTGGCAGCTTAAACCAGCACGTATTTATTATTTCACGGTTTCCACAGGTAACACGTGTGGCATGCATCAAGTGAGTTCTCTGGTTAGGGTCTCACAAGGCTGAAATCAAGGTGTCAGTGGGCCTGGGACCTTACCTGGAGGCTCCGGGGAAAAAGCAGCTGCCAAGCTCATTCATCCAGGTGAGTGGCAGAATCCAGCTCCTGTGGTGGCAGGACTGAACTATGTCCTTGCAGGATGTCGTCGGGGCTGCTCTCAGATCCTAGAGGCTGCCTGTGTGTGGTTCCCTCCATCTTTAAGCAAACAGTGGTGTGTCAGATCCTCCTTGGGCTTCAGATCTCTGTTGCTTCCCTCTGCTGCAAGCCAGAGAGAACGGTCTGCTTTTAAAGGGCTCCTGTGGTTAGATTAGGCCCTTTTGGATAATCCAGGATAATCTCCTTATTTTAAGGTCAGGGGTTTAATAACCTCAATTACAACTGCAAAATCCTGTTAGCCATGCAGCATAGTGCAAATGTGCACGTGATTCCTCCTCTAATTCGCAATACCTGGGATTATGGTGGGATATGTTGGGAGACCAGTTTTAGAATTCTGCCTACCACAGCCTTTACTAACCATCAGATGATTATTTGTTAAAACCCTGTTTTGCGACCCTGATGGGGTATCTGTAATTCCTGTGATCATACTGCCCACTCTTTACTGAGTTCCATCATGTCATCATGTAGTTTTACTTGCACCAGGTGCTTGTGCCTTCCCAAGTGTATTGGTCAGGGTTCCAGAGGAACAGGACCAATAGGATATTTAGAGAGAGAGAGAGAGAGAGAGAGATTTTTTTTATTAGGAATTGGCTCCCATGTTTGTGGAGGCTGACAAGACCCAAGACCTGCACGTGGCAAGGTGGAGACCCAGGAGAGCTGATGGTGTAGTTCCAGTCCGAGTCCAAAGGCCTGAGAACCAGGAGAGCCAGTGGTGTAAGTTCCAGTCCCGAAGTTGCTGGCATCGTCTCAAGAAGATGCGCTTTTTCAGTTCAAGTCCGCAGGCAGGGAAAGACCAGTGTCCCCCCTCAAGCAGTCAGGCTTGAGTCCCTCCTGCTTGAGGGAAGGTCAGCTTTTTTTGTCCTATTCAGGCTTTCGAGTGATTGCCATGGGACACTCCCACTAGAGGGCCACCTGCTTTACTCAGTCTACCTATCCAAATGGTGATCTCATCTAAAACTCCCTCACAGACACACTCACAATAATGGTCGACCTAATATCTGGGCATCCTCCGTGGGCCAGTCACGTCGACATAATATCACACATCACTCCAGGCACCTTGACACAGTCCATAATTTAACATTTATTTAAAAATTCCTATTCTATCTCAGTTAACTGTTCGGTTTCCCAGCTTCGTCGCCTATAAGACGGAGTTGTGAATAATTTCACTTTGTTCGTTGCATTTAAACTAATTACCTTTAAGGTTATATGTGTGAAAGGGAAAAACGGATCAGGAAGCAGCTTACATTCTTTACCGTATAGGAGAATTCTGCATCATGTGGCATGCAGATTTAATAATACCTAATATTTATGAAATATTTGCCATATTTAGCAAGTCCTTTTGTAAGCTCTTTAAATGCTTTACCTCATTTGTTCAGCAAAACACCATGAGATACATGCCATTGTTAGTCCCCTTTCCGTATGAAGAAACTGAAGCACAGAAGTTAAGTAATTTGTCCAAGATGACAGCTGGTAAGTGGCAGGCCCAGGATTGGAATCTATGGCTTCAGAACCAATGTCCCTAACTAATTAGTGTGACCATATAATTTGTCATCCACACCAGCATGAGAGCACTATTAAAAATTATACCTCAGTGGGCATAAAACAGGAAAGACTTACACGTATGAAGACACTGCTCACTCTGTTAGTGAACATTCTTTGGGTTGCAAGTAGCAGAAAATTCTTTCCTAGATTGGCTCAATTCAAAAGGAAGTTCGTGATCTCAGAGTATTTGCAACATCAGCATCACTTTTCCTCCCTCTGCTCGATTATTCCTGTCAGCATACAAACTGGTGTTGTTATTTTTATTATTATTATTATTAAAAAACAAACACAAAACGACGTTCTTTTTGCCTCACTCCCTCTTACCTCCTATGGGGCCTTTTCTCCTCCCCTTGGTAGCAGACCTCCCATAAGGAGCGTCTACACTCGCTGTCTCCAGTTCCCCTCCTCCCATTCTGTCTTAATCTCACTCTGATCGAACAAGTACACCTTCACCTAAACTGCAACTGTTGCGGTCAACGTAAGAATGACATTGATATTTCTAAGTCAATGGCTGTGTCACAGTCCCCTCCTTAAGTGACCCGTCCATAATTTTGGACCCAGTTGATCCCTCCCTCCACCTGGAACTACTTTCTCCTCTGATGTATTATTCAGCATTCTCTAGAGACGTGGAAACAATAGGATATGTATACGGGAAGTGATTTATTAAAAGGAATTGTCTCACGCAGTTGTGGAGGCTGAGAAGTCTCCCAGTCTGGTGCCTGCAAGCTGGAGACCCAGAAGAGCTGGTGGCCTAATTCAGTTTGACAGTGGCCCGAGGACCAAGAGAACCAACGATGTAGATTCCAGTCGGGGTCTGAAGACCTGAGAAACTGTAGTGCCGAGGACAGAAGAAGATCAATGTCCCAGTTCATTCAGTCAGGCAGGAAAGACTCAGTTTTTCCTTCCTCCACGTTTTGGTTCTGTTCAGGCCTCGAGGGATTGTTTGATGTCCACGCGTGCTGGGAAGGGCACACTGCTTTCCTGAGTCCACAGATTCAAATGTTAGTTTCACCTGGAAAGAGCCTTACGGACATACCCAGAGATGACGTTTAGCCAAATATTTGGACACCCCGTTATCCAGTCAAGTTGACACATACACACCTGCGTTCCAGGACAGTACTTTCCTGGTTGTTCTCTGATGTCATGCAGCTGTAGCTCCTCAGTCTTCTTGGCTGTTTCTCCTCCTGTTCCTGTGACCTCTTGATACCGACAAACCTCAGAACTGAATCCTTGTCCTCTTCTCCTCTCTACCTACACTCATTCCTTTCGTGATCTCATCCAGTACTGTGGCTTTCTATGCCATCTGGACCCTCTTCTTTCCCCAGTTTAGATATCCAACTTAGACTCCAGCGTCTGTTGCCACTGTCCACTTGGAAGTCCACGTGGATGTCTAATAGACATTAGATTTTAGCCCTGTAAAAACTGAACTTATTTCAAACAGTCGACTTCTGTTCTTTGTCATCTCAGTTAACATTATCCTTCTAACGACAGCCTCTTCAATAAGTGGTCCTGGGAAAACTGGACAGCTACATGGAAAAGAATGAAATTAGAACACTCCCTAAGACCATACACAAAAATAAACTCAAAATGGATTGAAGACCTAAATGTAAGGCCAGACACTATAAAACTCTTAGAGGAAAGCCTAGGCAGAACACTCTATGACATCAATCACAGCAGGATCCTTTTTGACCCACCTCCTAGAGGAATGGAAATGAAAACAAAAATAAACACATGGGACCTAACGAAACTTAAAAGCTTTTGCACGGCAAAGGAAACCATAAACAAGACGAAAAGACAACCCTCAGAATAGGAGAAAATATTTGCAAACGAAGCAACGGACAAAGGATTAATCTCTAAAACATACAAGCAGCTCATGCAGCTCAATATCAAAAAAAACAAACAACCCAATCCAAAAAATGGGAGGAAGACCTAAATAGACATTTCTCCAAAGAAGACATACAGATTGCCAACAAACACATGAAAGGATGCTCAGCATCACTAATCGTTAGAGAAATGTGAGTGAAAACTACAATGAGGTATCACCTCACACCAGTCAGAATGGCCATCATCAAAATATCTACAAACGGGCTTCCCTGGTGGCGCAGTGGTTGAGAGTCCGCCTGCCAATGCTGGGGACACGGGTTCGTGCCCCGGTCCGGGAAGATCCCACATGCCATGGAGCGGCTGGGCCCGTGAGCCATGGCCGCTGAGCCTGTGCGTCCGGAGCCTGTGCTCCGCAACGGGAGAGGCCACAAAAGTGACAGGCCCGTGTACCGCAAAAAAAAAAAAAAAAAATTTACAAAAAATAAATGCTGGAAAGGGTGTGGAGAAAAGGGAACCCTCTTGCACTGTTGGTGGGAATGTAAACTGATACAGCCACTATGGAGAACAGTATGGAGGTTCCTTAAAAAACTAAAAATAGAACTACCATACGACCTAGCAATCCCACTCCTGGGCGTATACCCTGAGAAAACCATAATTCAAAAAGAGTCATGGCCCACAATGTTCATTGCAGCTCTATTTACAATAGCCAGGACATGGAAGCAGCCTAAGTGTCCATCGACAGATGAATGGATAAAGAAGATGTGGCACATATATACAATGGAATATTAGCCATAAAAAGAAGCGAAACTGAGTTATTTGTAGTGAGGTGCATGGACCTAGAGACTGTCATACAGAGTGAAGTAAGTCAGAAAGAGAAAAAAAAAATACCGTAGGCTAACACATATATATGGAATCTCCAAAAAAAAAAAAAAAGAAGTGGTTCCGAAGAACCTATGGGCCAGAAAGGAATAAAGACACAGACGTAGAGCATGGACTTGAGGACACAGGGAAGGGGAAGCTGGGACGAAGTGAGAGAGTAGCACTGACATATGCACACTACCACATGTAAAATAGATAGCTAGTGGGAAGCAGCCGCATAGCGCAGGGAGATCAGCTCGGTGTTTTGTGACCACCTAGAGGGGATGGATAGGGAGGATGGGAGGGAGACGGAAGAGGGAGGAGATATGGGGATAGATGTATTATGTATAGCCGATTCACTTTGTTATACAGCAGAAACTAACACACCATCGTAAAGCAATTATACTCCTATAAAGATGTTGAGAACAAGCAACAGCAACAAAACAAGCAAACAGAAAAACACGTTATCCTTCTAGATGCTCACTTAGAAAGATTGGGGTTAGTCTTGCCATTATATCCATCCAGAAATCCTGTTGCTTCCATGGTCTAATGCCTCCTCCCGTGCTACCGCTTGATTCTAAGCCACTACACTTTATTGCCTTAGAACAACAACAACTTGCAACACCTTTGAAGTATTTACGTGGTCTACCATTTTCTACAAGATTTGCTCTTGTGTTACTTCTCTGAAATCCAACTACACTACCACTAGATCCCTCCACACCTACCTTAACCCTAGTAGTTACACTTTAACTGAAGCCTCTTGCACTGGCTGTTCTCTGTGTTGCAAAGGTTCTTCCTCCACATATTTAACAGCTCGCCCCGTCAACTCCTTCAAGACCTTACTCAAATATCACTTTCTGAGGAAGGCCTATCCTGACCGCTTCACAAAATTTCCAGTTTCTCAGCATTCCAGACCTAGTTTGCTTTTCATAACAGTGTAATCTTCCTACGTACAGTATAATTTAATCATTTATTTTATTTATTGTTTATACAGTTACCCCAAAATATGAGTTCTATGAGGGCAGAGACAGATGTCTGTTTTGTTGACTACAGTATCTTCAGGGTCAACAGGAGTGCCTGGCAGTTAGCTGGCAGTCACTACCGTTTGGTCCATTTCCCAAATAGACTGGAAGTGCAAAGTAGGGTGGGTTCTAGACATGGCGAAGTCTAGCTCAGGGATGTCATCAAGGGTTCAGATACTTTCCCTCTCTTTTTCTCAGCCACCTCAGTGTCCTCATCATTCTGGTCCCCAGATGTCTGTAGCAGTTCAGGGCTCGTATCTAGGCATGGTAATATTTAGGCAAAAAGGGAAAATATCTTCCAGTGTTCCTTTTCAAAGAGAAAGAAAACTGACATGATACTTTCCAGAAGATATCCACCCGCATCGACCCAAACATATGAGACTGAATCTGGTCACATGACCAACCTAAAATCAGAGATTGTCAAGGATATTGGATGCATCGTGACCGGCTTAGATGAACATGAGATGA